ATTTAGTGTTTTTAGCGGTTTTAAACAGCAGTTCAGTTAGTTGCAATCTGCCACTCCACCCCTAAATGTCACTAAATTCTAGTGTTTACACATTTAACTCCTTTATTCCTCCTTCATGAGTCGTTTCAGATTCATTAAAGGTAGAATCAAAATCAGCCCGCAGGGAGATGAAACATGGATACTATCCAATCCAATCTAATCCAATATCGTCCAAATCAGCCAAACTGTTGCTGAAATATATATATAAGTTGCCCATATAGGTGATTATTAATGCTATTAATTTAAATAATGCAAATTGACCAACATATGCACGTTAGTATCTGGCAGTTTCTAAATGCTGGCGACCCACACTGTACTTCTCTAACAACAAACTTTGGGGCACTAGTGGCTGGAAAATTGACCATTGTGTTAACTGTCTGGAGGGACCGGTATTAACGGCACACTGAACTGATGAAGCACACGCTTGTGGGAAGATATCAGGGAAGGATATGCAATTAAAATCTGAGCCAACTACATAAAGTTGAGTTAATAGCAGGTACTCTGATGCATCGTAGCCTCTACAGTGCAATAATTAGTCCGCATTCATTGTGAGTGTCGTTCCACAGACACATGACTCAGAGCTCATCTCCAATCCAACGCAGACCCAGTTTTCCTTTCGACTACCCGACGTTCAACTGGTGATGTTTTATTTTCTCCCTTTCATAGCAGAATCCTTGAGTCTTAAATTAGGCCCTGAGGGTGCCTGCGGATCGATAGGCTCACTGCAGGTGCACGCCGACAGGAACAACAAGGGAAGGCATTTTCCCTCTCCTTTCATCGGGATAAAACAAGCTTGATTGGGAGCGATGAGTGGAGCGAAGTGTGTGAGTTTCCCGTCCACCAGCGGCTCCAGCGTGTTCCCGCGGCCCACGTTCATTACAGCCGGGCGCCGTATTGACCGCGTTGTACAGCAAAACGGAGATCAAGCTGGGTTACAATGGGGACGCCTGAATTCCTGAAAACAAACTGTTATTGATTTGTGTAAGTAAGTTGAATAAGCAGCGTTTGAGAGGCTGCTCTGAAGGCCCGGTCCTATGTCGGAATCCACCTCTGCCTCCGTCTTACTGCAGGTTTTTCGCCAACGCCGGCCACCCTTATTGACTGTTTGGAGTATTCATGCAGTGTAACAAGAGGGTGCCAGGATCTGTGTGAAAGTGGCTGATACACAGGAGGATATCTCTTGAAACTGAAGTTACCTATAACATAAACATTAATATCAACAGCTGAGAAAACTCAGAGGCAACTGTCTTTAACAAGTTTTGAAACTCGCCAACTCCGCTGAAATTGTTGAAACAAATTAAATGAAACATTTCAAGCATCACAACTTTACAGTACAAATAAAAATGACAAACTGAAGTCTGTGTCACTTGAAATTGATAACGCTATTTAATCAAATGTGTTTTTTTAACTCACAAAATTAAGTTTGTGTCAAGTTTTTGATTTAATCAATTTCAGCAATTAATTGAGTTAAATTAACTCATCTGATTTTAATACGATTAAAAGTTTTTTGAACTCAAAAAAAGATATGTTCGAAAATAAGTTTTATTTATGGAAACATTTTTATAAATATAAATGTAAGTCAGCTCCTCTTGTGTCAACACGCTCCTGCTCATAAACATATATTTATTCTTATTCTTATTCTTATTTATATATTTCATTCTCTGTGGTGCCTCGGATACACATTCAATAAACCACAAAACAATAACAGAAATAAATATATATATATTTAAAAAAAGGTAAATTAAAAGTCATAAAAAGTGTTAAACTCTGGACGAGTCAGAAAAAACAACAACATAATTCAACTGATTTTTAAAAAAAACCTTTAATCATCTCTGTGATCCCTGGGGGGGTCTCCCACATTTGAAACCACCGTTTGATATACTTTGTCTTTACTTTCCACCAGTAAATCCTTCTGTCTGTTACTGAGCTGCTTTTGTCAGCAGTCTGTCTTTATATGCACGCTGATGAAGATTAGTTTCACATAGTTAATCATTTTTTTATGTAAATGAGGAAGCCTTACTCCGCATTACAAAGCAAACAACTGATGAAGGTTGCCGTATATAATCCTCTCTCTTCTCTCCTCTTTCTTCTTATTTATTATACACAATCATAATACAGAACACATTCAGGTGGCATCAATCAATGACATTATTCCTTCATAAATATATTAAAGGAGGGGCACAAACTTACTGTCTCCTTGTTGTTGGAGGAGAAAGTAGTTTTCATGTATCTTGGTTAGAGACAGAGTGGATTAATGTGACAGTTTGCTAAGATAATTTAATAATATAATATTCTTGGATTTTATTGCCATTGCATTTATTGAAATCAAATAAAACATTCTCTAGGCATTGAGTGAAATCGAAGTCAGTAATCAATAATAAATCTACTGTAGTCCTTTCATAGGTTTGTTACGACAGAGTATTAGGGCCAGACTAAGAATTTTTTATTTTTTGGGGGGAAATTACGAGAATAAAGTTGTAATGTTACGAGAATAATGTAGCCGTTTTAATGAGAATAAAGCTTTGATAGAGTTATCAAGA